TATATATATACACTGCTCAAAAAAATAAAGGCAAGGCAACAGAAAGACAACCCCAAAAAGGTGGAAGGGTTTTGCATGTGGTGGCCACAGACAATTGCTCTCAGTCTCCACGAGGGTGGCATCAGGGCCTGACGTCCTCTAGTGGGACCTGTGCTCACAGCCCAGCACCGTGCAGCTCGATTGGCATTCACCAGAGAACACCAGAACAACACTGGAATCCCCGTTCTCTTCACAGATGAGAGCAGGTTCACACCGAGCACATGTAACAGACGTGAAGAGTCTGGAGGCGCTGTGGTGAATGTTATGCTGCCTGAAACCTCATCCAGAATGGCTGGTTTGCCAGTGGGTCAGTGATGGTCTGGGGAGGCATATCCTTGGAGGGTCACACAGACCTCCATGTCATAGCCAACACCGCCCTGACTGCTGTTAGGTACCGGGATGAAATCGTCAGAATGATTGTTAGACCACACGCTGGTGCAGTGGGCCCTGGGGTCCTCCTGGTTCAGGACAATGCACGGCCTCATGTGGCCAGAGTGTAACAGTGCCTGGATGACAAAGGCATTGATGCTATTGACTAACCTAAATCCAATATTGAGCACCTATGGGACAGTATGTATTGGTGTATCCGTAGCTGCCAAGTGCAGCCACAGAATGTCCAGGAGCTCACTGATGCCCTGATCCAGGTCTGGGAGGAGATCCCCCAGGAAACCATCCGCTGACTCACCTGGAGCTTGCCCAGGCGCTGTCAGGAGTGCATACAGGCGAGCAGGGCCAATACACACTGAGTCACTTTATGAGCTGCTGTGATAAAATTAACGCAAGTTGGATCAGCCTGTGATTTAAATGTTTTACTTTGGTTTTCAGTGTGGTTTTGAATCCAGCCCTGAATGGGTTCAAGATTTTGAACTTGAATAATTCATTCATCAAGATCTGATGCATGATTTAAGTGCTCCCTTGATTTTCTTGTGTATATATATATATAGTAACAGAGTTACCAGGTATCTACTATAGAAGTGGTTCCATTATAAAGTATTATATATATTTTGTTATTAGCATATGAATTCTTGAGGTATGGTTTGAGTTATGTTTGGTGACATGATCACAGTGACTTTGACCACCAAAATTGAATCAGTTTGTGGTGTCCCTGAGACATTGCATGAGAATGTGTCAGAAGGATGGGGAACTTAAAAACACAAGGCCTTAAAATGAAAGTGGTCCAAAGCTTACCCTGAGGGCGGAGTCCCGGACAGAGAAGCAGGGTGACAGCAGGGCGTTGAGCAGCACATCTATCTCTTGCTGCTCTGCCACAGTGCAGCCTTCGTCACCTCCAGCACTGGCACACAGAGCGGTCAGGCACTGAGACGCTAACACCTGCAACACGTATTGTCTTACAATTCATACATAGCTCAGACAGCAAATGCCTTGAATGCAATAAATAGAAACTGACAAATTCAGCACTAGAAAATGTATATACACTTTATACTGAGAAAATAAATCACGCCAACAACTATGAGCAGATGTTTGAAAGTTGTGAGTTTAAATTCTGTTAGTAAAACTGCTCGTCTACCTGAAGTCTTGGGGTGGCTGTGGAAATGATTCTGGTGAGCAGCAGCAACATGTTGACACGTGGAAGCAGCTCAGGCCCGTTCTGAGACAAGAAAACAACAGTTAGTATATAAATCCATTCAAATACAAATATACATTATTGTCACATAAAGCTTTCTCAATTTGCTTTGCATATTATTTTTACACACCAAGGACTATGCATAATAACCGACTGCTACATGGATGACTGGTGAGAATATAAATGTGAATACAATGACAGCATGAAAACTATTATTCTCTTGTTAATAACTAATTTCTGGTGGCCTGCACCTTCCAATCAATATTGTATTTCCCACTCATCCTCATACAGTCTTTACTTTACCTCATCTATGGCAAAGTTATCAATGTTTGTCTCGGCCCGAAGCTGGCAGTGTTCGTTGATGACTTGCAAGGCTCTGGTCATCAGGTTCTCTGTCTCCTCAGTGCTGCCGGAGGACTCCCTGAGCATGGCGTTGAGGAGAGGGAAGCAGAAGGAGAACGCTGGTGCAGACAGGGGAGTCACGTCTAAGGAAGAAAATTACATTTTCAGGAAATACTATTTGAATATGTATTTTTTGTG